TTTTGCTTAAAGCAAGGTACTATGATAGGAGGGGGTGGTAGATCACTGGCACTTTTGACACTAAAAAGTCGATCACAACCTGTTTGAAGTTGGACATGCCTGATTAAGATGAACTGTGTACTTATGAGTGTTGATGTTCGGTCTGTACAGTGTGACTGCTTTGGGAAAGTTGTATAGATATATCGGCTGCAAGATCATAGGTATGGGGAGATAGTGCACAGGTAAAAACACTTAATATCAGCCAAGGTTTTGGTGTAGGAGATCTGAGGATATCGCTGTATCTGAATTGTGTTATAACTCTTCATGCACTGTTCGCATTGCCACTACTGCTCCAACTGTAAAAGTAAAGGTATCCCTGTAACAGGCTGTGGAGGCTCATAAGGTTGTTAGACGTCAAGACTCCCCCATTTTGTAGACAGTCGGCTCACAGATGACAGTGAAATGTGTAACTATGTTATCCCAAACCTTGAGGTCATTGGTGTATGATGTAATTCATGAAGTGAATTCTCTTATTTTAAGAAGACTGTTGTAGCTGATATGTAAATACAAATTTGAGGCTTACTGGTGTGAAATGGCTGTGAAGTTTAATGCCACATGCGCAAGGGAGCTCGTGATTTCAATACACACTGTTAAATTTAAATGTTGTCAGTCTCTCATAAACGGCATGTTGGGTGGCAAGGCTGCATGCCTTGAGTTGTCTGTTTCCATGGGTGAAAATAGACTTGAGTACAGCTGTGCTAATGTGTGACTAAGGTAATCGCTTAACGAAAGTTGCTTATTTTTCAAATGTCTGTTATATTGGGTAGCATACCTGCTTTGTATCTGCGAGGTCCTTGGTTTACATCTCAGCCCAATGACCAACCATTTTCTGTCATATATATTTTTGTGGCTTGCCATGTTCCCTTCATTCAAATGCTGGTATTGCATCTGAAATTAAGCCATGATTTCTTCTGTTTCAGTTCATCACTTATTAACCATCCTGTTATTTGATGTCACGTCATCTATCCTGTTCAAAACGTTACTTGAACGTAGATGAAGAAGTATAAAGGATACCTTTGTTATGCTGTTAATATTGTAATAGAACTTTCATTAAGACTGCTTGATGTTCTAGACACTGAGTGTTACAGTTTGACATTTTAGAGGTGGGGGGGATGAGCATCAAGGGGTCTCTGTGCCCATAAGCTCTTTTGACAGAATGTTGATTTGGGGTAATTCAATTCTTGTGTTTTAAATTAAGCAAACAAATTCTGAGAAGAACCAGTCGCCTAATTTCCTCTGATATGACACAGACCATGTAGAAAACAACGGGTCCAACTATTATTTTATTGTTACCTGCATATCCATTGCCATGGTAACGTTCTCACCGAGCTCTTGCCCAGTGACAGGGGCACACACAGACTGATGGGAGGGATTTATGAAGTACACAACTGAGATGGGCCCAAGTGCAATGATGTACATACAAATTTTCATAAAGACTGGTTCAACCATTCAAAAGTTGATAAGGGGGATACATAAACAGACAGCATGGTGATCTCATAAGCCTACTTATTTTTCAGAGTGAGGAAAGTAAGCTAAAAATAAATATATAACTAAGTAGGGCCAAATTATAAAATTAAACCCATTTCTATAGATCACTTACCATTTTTTTCCTTCAATTATAATAATAGTTTCCCCCCCCTCAAAGGGGCCATGCCATAGCTCAAGCGGTTAGTCGCTGGCTTCCCCCCGCGGCAGCCCGGGTTCGATCCCGGGTCTGGTCAAGTGGGATTTGTGGTGAACAAAGTGGTGCTGGGGCAGGTTTTCTCCGAGTACTTCGGTTTCCCCTGTCAATCTTCATTCCACCAAATGCTCCTCAATCACCCTCACCTATCATCTGGGGCTGGTACAATAGGCCAGAAGTGGCCGCAGTACAAGGGACTTAGTCCCGCCCCACTAGCAATAAAAAAAAAGTTTTATTAATTTCAAAATGTTGCATATTCTTGTTCTTGCTGAAAGGAGTGGTATGCATACATGCATGTGTGGTGCACAGTGTGCTCTGTGATCAGTCTTTAGTACTTACTTCACTATTCACATTGGTTAAATTACCCATATTTATATAACCAGCCAGTGTGGCTGAGTCAGCATGCTAGTAAGGCTATGGGCTGTGGAGAATTAGAGTTTGTTTCCTAGGAAGGGCAAGGATTTTTCTCTTCACTGGCTGTGGCGTCTGCACAACCTTATATTGAGTGAGTGCAACGGTCTCTTAAAGCAGCTGCAGCTTAAAGCTGACCTCTCACCACCATCTAGTTCCTAGGTTAAAATTGCATGAAATTATACCTCCACTCCCCCACACTTTCTTTACTGTATGGTGCCTAACTAAACACAAAGACAACTGTACGAGTACATTTCTGTTGCGTTCATCACTGTAGGCCTTCAGAAATTTGGTTCGTCAGATTAATGTGACACCTAAAATTTTCATGAGAGGACTAGAATCTCTCTCTGCTACATTACTAGTAGCTCATGACATGTCAGACATAACAGTGGTCAATGTTAAGAAAGGGCCAAATATAATTTTTGGTTGCAGCATCTAGCCCGTCTTCTTGTGCATTCATAGAGTTCATCAAGTCGAGAGACAGACTGGGCTCTTACGAAACAGTGAATCTGAACCAGGGTCCTGTTCGTCGGCTACGTTGAAGTTCAAATTCAGATGTGATTTCTGGTGCTTGTGTAAACTTGCTATGCAAAAATGTCACAATATTACCAAGTGGTGAATGGGCCCACCACAGTTGAGGAACTGCAGCAGTTGTGCCCAAATTTGCGTGTGGATGGTGGGAACATTCAGTATATCATCAACCAGGATGAAACTGCCAGTGTCCAGTACCAGCATCAGAATCATCAGGTCATAGGCATTGATCAACAGACAGGAGCAGCAATTCAACTGAGTGGCTATCAACATCAATCGCTTGTGGTTGATAATCAGCAGCAACAGTAAGTAGGATGGTGTTAACTTCTTCAGTCAGCAATATGTTTTACTGAAGTTCATTAAATTTCTCAGAAGTTTGCTGGGTCTTTCATTGAATGCTTTGGTGAGGTTGTTAACACTGCTTGTGCAGGATGTCACAGGGACAGCTCTCAGTCTGGAGACCAACCCCTTCAGGTCGACGCTGGCTTAGTACCTGAAGTATTTCTTTCCAATTCATTATTCACCTGTCATCATACCAGTAAATGTTACATAATCTGATCTACTGGGAGTGCCATTCATGAAACCATTAAACGAAATAAATAGATGCCAGTTTGAACAATGTAGTCAGTGAATTTTCAAGAAAATGCTGTTAACACACAAAACATCCCGTAATGTAAATATTTCTGATGGTGTCTTACAGTAAACGGAAGGGCCACGCCATAGCTCAAGAGGTTAGTCGCTGGCTTCCCACCACGGTGGCCCGGGTTCGATCCTGGGTCTGGTCAAGTGGGATTTGTGGTGGACAAAGTGGCACTGAGGCAGGTTTTCTCCGAGTAATTTGGTTTCCCCTGCCAATGTTCATTCCACAATCACCCTCACCTATCGTCTGGGGCAGGTACAATAGGCCAGAAGTGGCCACAGTACAAGGGACTTAGTCCCACCCCACTAGCAATAAAAAGAATACAATAAACGGAACTGATATTTTGGACATTGTCTTCATTTTTTTAAGGCAGTGTTTTTGAAATTAGATCCGTTTCCATCATCAGGTGGAAGAGAAGAATGATTCCTGCATAGTTGGACCCACTAAAAGAGCTAGTTTCTGTCACTGGAGCAAAGTCCGTTTAAATAAGAATCTGTATGTGATGATGGAAACACATGGAACTTTTGAAACATAGTGTTTGAAGAACCGCAGGACGTTAAATAGGCTCCAAAATAACAGTTTTCAGTGATTGACTCTGCTAAAGGTAATGTAACAATTAGTACTCATGAGTGCGATCTTGTGGAGTGTGACACATCGTCTAGTCCTGTAGAAGTGATCTACATTTCAGAGGATTGTACTGACTTCACAGCTGAAGACTAAGCCAAGCATGTAACTTGTTTCTTGCTTCACTTACTCGTCAACCCTGTGCGATCCTCTGAAACATTTGTGAACTAACACCAGACTGCATGGGGTCACATCCCAGAGGATAGTGCTGTTCACAGGCACCATGATGAGAACGTCAGATCCAATTGGTGCTCTTTAGTTGCGCTGTTTTCCTCTGTATTTATTTTCATATAATATTTTTTTTCTTCTCTCAGGGGTGTGTATGTTCTGGAAACTGCTGAACACAATGCACAGACTGCTATTGCAGTGGCCGATATTCAGCAGCAACAACAACAACAACAACAGCAACAGCAACTTCAGCGCCAAGTGCAACAGGTTCCTGCTTCTCACTTTCATCCTCAGGCACATCCGCAGCAGCAGCAGCGGCTGCACCATCATCACCATCATCAGGCACAGGCTCAAACACAGGCTCAGCAGACGTACTACAACAATGTGCCTGTACCTTCACAGGCGCAGGGAAATGCATTGGCTCTAGTAGATGCTGCTGTCCATATGTCTCAGGGGCAGAATATGCAAATTACAGGTAATCCTCTGGTTGTGTGGCCTGCCGTGATTTTGGGGTCCCTGGCTGCATCTGCCGTTCGGGTAGCAAGCCAAAATTTGTGCAGAAGAATGTAACGCTGTTGTCAAGGGATCAAAAAATTGTGGCGGCACTGTAGGTGGAAGTTGACAGATCTCCAGAACAAAAAGAAAACTGCATCTATGCTTTGTCTCTATGCTTGATGGGATTGTATAAATGTAGCAGTGTTGAACATGTCTTGTGCTGTCTTCTTGCAGTTGAAAATAATGTCACAGAACAACATGCACAGCATGTTGCATATGGGCAGCCCACAAAAGTCCCAGTGAGGTTTCCCAATAGACTGTCACAGTTACTAGAACAGCAACTGCAGCAACAACAGCAGCAGCAACTGCAACAACAACAACAGCAGCAACTGCAGCAGCAGCAGCAACAACAACAACAGCAGCAGCAACAACAACAACAGCAACAGCAACAGTTGCAGCATCTGCAGCAACAACAGCAACAGCAACACATATTAAATCAAGTTGTGCAAGCATCGAATAATATTGTGACATTGTCAGACGGTAGAAAGGTGAATACGATTCTAATTCTCTTGAGGTATGCAAGCTTTATTGTTTGGATGTAAAAATTTTCTAGTTCCCAGGATATAATTTTTATGTATAACAAACAAACTCCATGGCCTGTAGTCCTCAAGCAAACTATACTGACCGAGCAACCACCGCTTGTAGGTGAAGTTAGTGCCAACTTCTGATGGCAGAGGGTGTCACGTGGTCAGCGCAATGAATCCCCATGGCCGTTAATTTCGGTTTTCTAGACAGGAGCTGCTATTACCTTGAAATAGCTTCTCGGTTATCCTCACAAGGCTGAGTGGACCCTGTTCCTGACCCACTACTTCTCAGAAAATCTGGTAGCGCAGGGAATCGAACCCAGGTCCTGTGGATCTGTAGGCAGGAACTCTGACTACTAGACCACAGAGGCGGTCCAATTTTAATGTATTTACTATGAAATTTTGAAAACAAATGTGTTTTTTATCTGTCTTGTCTGTCCACATGTAACGCCTTTAAGAATTTATGAATGAATTTTCGTGAATTTCATTAAAAATTTATCAAGACATTTAAATTTTGATTGAAATGAAGAAAGAATAATGGTCACTTCACATCACGACCTGATTGGCTGGTAACACAGAGATGTGTATTCTGTCACTTGTTTTATATTAAGGACCTTCTATACAAAGTTTCATTAAAATGTCACGAAGTGGATAGCAATTGAAAGCTGCAAGAAGACATGGTTCTTCATGAACCCCACTGACCAGTTATGGCTGCCATGAAATTAATTTTGGAGAATGTGTATTTTACGGATCATCTGGTCATATGGCCTCCCCCACCCCCCAGCAGGGAGGCTGCTGAGGGGACAACCTTGCATGGAGACCTAATGTCAGATGTTCAAGTCCCTCCTTATTGTGCTAATTTCTTTTCCCGGCACGACAAATGGACCATTGCACAGGATGACAAATTGTGGGCTGTACCAGCCCTCCTTCAGCTCCAATGAGAAGAAGGAAGTCCTGCTTACATGCGTTTGGATTGGGCACACTCTTATTCGACACATGGCCTTTTGTTGTCAGGTGACCCGTGGAATGTCCATATTATGACGAAGAGCACTAAACTGTCCGTCTTCACGGCACACCACATGACATGTTGTCGTGATGTGTCTGTTACAGCATTTTTTTTTGTATAAAGATAGAAAAAATTTGTTTTGCTCAGTTTCATTCTCATGTTTGAGTCATTTCATCTTCATTGTTGTTTTAAGATTTCATTGTCCCATACACACTCAGATTTACTGTTTTTTTGGACTTTGTCCCTTTGTTCTGAAGAATGCAACATTTAGGAAACAGGATTTGTCCCCATCCTCAGTTAAGGGGTTGAGAGACACCTACTCTGTTGAGTCCCTTAGAAAGAGCTAACCTCAGTCCCCCTCACCTGAGGATGGAAACAGATCCAGTATCCAAAACATTGTGCTATGTAGTTTTTAGAATACAGAACGATGGACAAAGTCCAAAATCCCAGTCATTCTGAGTGTTATACACCGTCATCAGAACCCGTTAGAATCTACCCATACATAGCCCATTGTATTGTCAGTTCTAACCCAGTGTTATCTTTGGTTCGTGTTACAATTTTATGCACTGCTAGTGAAACCACTCAACCATTTGATGAGTGTAGAGTTTTATTTAATTTTATATTGGGTTTAGGAAAGGTGGAGTCAGGATAGCATAGTTGGTATAGTGACTGGCTATGGGCTGGAGTGAGGTTGGAGTTAGAGTCCTGATAGGATCAAGAATTTTCTCTTCCCCAGGTCACCCAACCTCCTATCCAATGAGTACCGGGGGCACTTTCTCTGGGGGTAAAGCGGCTGGGGTGTGAAGCTGACCACTCACCTTTAACTAGTGCTGAGGTCAACAAAATATGAACCTTTACATCCACTCTCCCATACACCTTCATGATGTAATGCTTAATTAGTTAAGCACAGGGACAACTTTACCCTTTTTAAGAAAGGTTAACATGACTTCAATCCAGGCGTACATAGCCATGAGTACTGGTGCACCAGTAAACTCTCACACACTAACACTAATGACTGTGTTTCTTTCCTGTCTTCTTGTGTGCTAAATTCAACAGAGTATTGGTAGTATTCTCCTTCAGTAAGCCATGTCATAGCTCAGGCAGTTAGACCCTGGCTTCCGACTTTCAGGATTCAGTCTTGGGGTAACTTAGTGTGAGATCTGTATGGTTGAAGTGTTTCCCCATGCTAATCATCTTTCCACCATTGCTCCCCACACATGTGATGTGTGATAGTTCTCATCAGATATCGTGTTATCACATCCTTCGTATTTAAGTGAGGGAGTTCATCGATGACCCACATTTCTTGGCTTTTTACTGAGTGAGGAGGTTCCTCACTTGGTTTCATATATTCAAGGTTGCTAATGTTACAACTTCTTTTAATGTGTTCAAGATCACTATGGAGGATTGGCAGCGCATGCAAGAACAGCAGATGGCAGCAGTCGCTGCGGCAGCCAAGCGGAATGAGAGGTCAGAGGTCATCACCTTGACTAGACAAAATGCAGATGTTGGGTCACCTATGATGGCTCCTTTAATGGAACAGCACAGGTATGTATTGGAAATTTGAAATGTACACCCTTTTTGGCTGGAGGAGCTCTTGTTGAGAAACCACCAGTTGTGCAGATGGTCAAGAACTTCATGGCATTTTACGGAACTTGCAGTTTCCTTACCGTATTCACAAGAGCCCGCCACTGGTCTCTATCCTGAGCCACATCATTCCAGTTCATACCACTCCATCCTATCTCTCTGTTTAAGGTCCATTTTAATATTATACACCTACCTATGTCTTGGTCTTTCCAGTGGTCTCTTTTCTTCTGGCTTCCCCACCAATATCCTATATGCATTCCTCTTCACCCCCATTCGTGCTGCATGCCCTTCCCACCCTATCCTCCTTGACTTGATCATTCTAATTATACTTGGAGAAGAGTGCAAGTTATGAAGCTCCTCATTGTTCAGTTTTCTCCAACCTCCTGTCACTTCATCCCTCTTCAGTCCAAATATTCTCCTCAACACCCTGTTCTCAAACACCCTCAGTCTGTGTTCCTCCCTTAATGTCAGAGACCAAGTTTCACACCCATACAGAACCATGCACAAAATTATAGTTTTGTATGTTTTAATTTTTATGTTTTTGCATTTTGTAATGTAATGTATTTTCACCCTTCAGTGTGCAACAGTTTTTAGAGTTTTACATGGGGTAATCTAAATTTATACTTATTATTAATATAAAAGGACGGACAGATCATGAAACTTGTTCATAGATGTTACATATAGTGGTTAGTGTAGGAGGGAGCATTCATGAAACCTTTGGGTTAATTACATCCCGCAGATATTTTATCTACACATCTCAGTAAATAGGGTTTGAGATTAAAGGAAATGTAGTGAAGAGGCTTTTCCTCCTCGGTGTGTACCCGTTGGTATGTCTGTTTTGTGTCCAACAAATGTACAGAAACACTGAGCTAATTGTATCAAGCAGTAATGCTTATTACTTGTATTTAAGAGTGCCCAGTTTGAGTCTCATCCAAGACACTGCCATAACTGAGGTTTTTCATTGTTTTCCTTGACTTTGTCGACAGATGTCAAGAATGTACATGTTAAAAACAAACTACAACATCTTTCTCCCCCACTCCTTTGACATTCTCCACGTCTGACAATCCACGCATTCCATTTGACATGAATAACTGTTGCATTCAGTACAGTGTCGTTAAATGACCTATGATCCCATACAGATCTCTAAAGAATGTATTTCATACAGGGCAGCACAAGTGCAACGCCAAGAATACGCTGGTCCGAGGAGAAGTTATGGAAAGGCTCGGATAAGAACGCAGAATGCTTTGGTGACAAACAATACAATTCAAGCCATTGCATCACCAACTGTTGATCACCATCGTAATCTCCTGCAGCAACATGAGTAAGCAGTGTTGTAATAATTCTACTTAATTAAGTTGTTGTGTCTCAGCATGTGTTATGAACGGTTTAGAATATTGCGTCCGTTGTGTCTCCATCCATACACATTTCATTTCCAAAATTACCGAACAAATGTCAATGAAATATATTACTGGTTGGTTGTGCAAAACATTTTTTGGTCCATGCGGTCCAGTACAATGCTTCCTTCACATGAAGCTGAAATGAAATTAACGCATACAAAAGACTGATACAAGACATAAAACATGGGTAATAGGCCTTTAACCTTGAAGCAGAAGAACAGGAAGTCATGTCAGTTTGGGTAGTCTTATGAGGTAGTTGCATTCCCAAGGTGTGGTAGCATGACTGGAAGTATTTTATTTCCTTTTGGTTTCACTGCCTCTGACTTTCATTGAAAAATACTTAATTCCATTACCTTTAATAATATCATCCATTGTAGCGGTTTACAAATTCGAATTCTTTTCTTCTGGGCAATAATTGCATCTTTTGTCTTAACTAAAGAATATGAAACTGAAAAATTATGTTAACCCCAAATTTATGCCAGTTAGAATTGTTTGATTCAGGAATGCTTCTCCTGGCATTTAAGGCATCCTTGTGTTGTTCAGGTTTTGAGGTAAATGAATACTGAAACAGTAAAATATAAAAGTTGGGTTTTTTTTTGTGCAATTTCAGTAATGTGATATCTGTGGGGGATCGGATGGCCACTGTGCCCCCACAACATACTCGAGAAGAACCCCTTCAAGAACAACGTCAGCAGACTGCAAGCAGTACTCAGATATTGATTCTTCTGCCAGACGGCAACCAGCGGCTGGTGAACTTGAATGTACCTCAAGGAACCTGTTCCCTAGAGGAAATATTTGAACAGGTGAGAAAGAGCAGATTTGCCCACATCTGACGTGTTTTCAGAATTTTGGCTGGGAAACTAGCTGTCTTGGTCAAGGTTTTTTGTGGGTTTCCTTGGTCCCTCCAGGCAGGCAACCCATTGTCACATTGCAGTCTGTGAGTTGGCTGTTTCATATCTCTGATTCAGCACTTGGCTGGCTGCAGAGTAAGGGAGGTGGTATTAGCTCTTGCTAGCTGCTGGTCATTCTGTATACATAAAAAAGAGTAATGTAGTGAAGAGATGGAAGTTGCTAAGACAGTGAATTTCCAAGCATTAACATATCACATGAAACATTATGTAATAAGTCACAATTGAGCAAGCAGTCTTTTGTTTTTAATGTATCTCGTATATTCCATGAATATTTATAATATTTTGGAAATGGATGTGTGAAGTTTCATGTACTGTATAAAGGTGATGATTTTTATTGACTATTTATGCATGTTATTCATGGGAGATGGCATTAAACATTGACCTTGATGTATCATTTAGTAACACATAGACTGGGGCCATGCCATAGCTCAAGCGGTTAGTCACTGGCTTCCCATTGCGGCGGCCCGAGTTCGATCCCGGGTCTGGTCAAGTGGGATTTGTGGTGGACAAAGTGGCGCTGGGGCAGGTTTTCACTGAGTACTTTGGTTTCCCCTGCCAATCTTCATCCCACCAATTGCTCCAGATTCACCCTCACCTATCATCTAGGGCTGGTACAATAGACCAGAAGTGGCCACAGTACAAGGGACTTAGTCCCACCCCACTAGCAATAAAAAGAAAAACATAGACTGGGAAGCAGTAGAGGGGAGGGCAAGGGGATGTTAACAGTACAAAAGTGTGCGTAAGACCTTGTTGAATTCTCAGTGGCTGTTACACTATGTATGTGTGTTCATAACCCAGGTTGCTCTACGCATGGACGGAAATGTGATAATAAACAGCTCGGAGACAGCAGGCGAGCTTTCTTTGGAACAGGCTGCAATAGCTACAATCAAAACTGAGGAAATTCCAGCTGTGGGCCAGGTACTGCAGCAACCAGACACCAAGCCGCCAAGCGAAGACGTCCACCAAGTAAGTATATAATGAGATATCTCTAAGGTTTGTGACATTGGTTTATTTCTTTGGTATGGGCTAAATAATCTGGGAATGAGTTTGATTCTAGCAGGGCAGAGACTTGTTCCTCACCACAATGTCCCAGGGCGTCACCCTATTAGTTGGAGGCAAAGTGACGAGGACATGAAACTAACCATTCACTTTCATGTAGTGCCACGGAAGAGAATTTGTGGAGCTGTACCTCCACTCCCATGGTGTGGTGCATAGTTAAATGTAGGGATAACTTTACCCTACTTTCAGCAATATGAGCATGGTACTTGTGAATTTCTGAGGTGTAAACAGCACTAGGTCTACATAATGGAGGGTTCTGAAAGATGAGATGTGAGCTGTTGACAGCCGTGAGTGTTCAGATACTGTTGTGGGTTGTGACATTATGTAGTCTTGTAAGTGGATACCCAGGGCCGCGCCATAGCTCAAGCTATGGCTTCGCACCGCGGCGGCCCAGGTTCGATCCAGGGGTCTGATCAAATGGGATTTGTGGTGGGCAAAGTGGCCCTGGAGCGGATTTTCTCAGAGTACTTCGGTTTCCCCTGCCAATCTTCATTCTACCAAATTCTCCATCATAATCATCCGGGCAGGCTACAGTAGGCCAATCAGTGGCCGCCACGCTGAGTGGACCCAGTTGGGCTCCACTCCCCATTAAGTGAAGTGGATACCCACATACTTCGGTTTCCCCTGCCATTCTTCATTCTCCCAATTGCTCCACAATCACCCTCACCTATCATCTGGGGCTGGTACAATAGGCCAGAAGTGGCCGCAGTACAAGGGACTTAGTCCCACGCCACTAGCAATAAAAAAAGTAATGCAGGTGGTATAGTGGTCAGAGTTCCTGGCTACAGATCCAGAGGTCCCTGGTTCAATTCCCAGCGCTACCAGATTTTGTGAGAAGTAGTGGGTCTGGAGTGGGGTCCACTCAGCCTCGTGAGGATTGAAGAGCTACTTGAATGGAAAAGTAGCAGCTCTGGTCTGGCAGTGTTGCAGAATTTTGGGCTTATATCTGGGAAATTTAGTTACTGGGGACCTTTATAGTTAGTATCAAGTTGTGCGTTGTCCATTGGAGGCTATAATTGATGTAAATAACTTTTCCAGCTCTGCTCACAGGGTGATAAGTGACATCTAGCGAACAGTGTACTAGATGAGTATTAAGACCATCCTATTCCAACTGTCGTTGCTAATCTCAGAATAAAGACATAATAGCGAATATCTCGGTATGACAGCCGAATCCCTGGAAGAAAGGAGTACAGCCAGCTCCCACAACTTTATGTCAACTGTACCTCAGAAGACTGACAGTGTCCAACATAACTTTAGTAGACTGAATAACTATTGTCACAGACCATTAAAGAATTGGTGGTGGGAATCTGTACTAGTACGTATCATATATGGTACACTAAACTTGGTTAATTGTTAAATTTCTGATTGCTTTGGGCCTCTGTCTGGATACTTTTGAAAGCAAGCAGTTGTTCATTCTTCCCAGAACTCCTTGTTATATTTCTAGAATGGTTATGGTTTCTGTTCTCAGGAGAATGCTGTGTCCTCCAGTGGTCTCCTTATACAGTCGGCGCAGAGCAGTTTGTGTTTACTGAAAGCTGAAGAAACCATGTAAGTAGTGTAAACCTCTGTTAGCTCTTTCTTTCATTTAACTGCATGATACAAGGGTTGGATAAAAAGTAGTGGCAGTACCGCTGTAACATGAAAGATGTGCATCAGGTGGCACTAGCGCCATCTGTAGTTGATAGCAGAAGTTCAGTTGAAGTAATGCAGTGAATGGCTCTGGTTGTGTTTCATTGAGTTGCATTGTGCATCATCTTGAAGTGCAGGAGCCCAGTTCAAGCACCTTAACAACATGTTTACAAAATGAGAACAACGCTCCTGGATAAAAATTGAACTTGCACGAGGTTGTAGTGCACAAAACTGTTATCAGGGACTGCGAGAAGCACGTGGTGATGCTGCTTTGCCGTATCGCACAGTGGCACGGTGTGTGTGAAATTGTTCTGTGAAGGGAGGGATGCCATTCAGGCCAGCCATCATTCAGGATGACCCCATGTTGATAGCCACAAAATTCAGCTTCTTGCTTCTTTGCTGGATGCCGATCGTCAGTGGGCTGCGCAGGATTTAGCTGCTGGGGTAGGCATATGTCACAAAACCGTGCTCCACATTCTGCATGATATTCTTGGATACTACAAAATTGCAGCGCATTGGGTACCCCATACAGTGTTCGAGGTGCAACAATGGCAACTTTATGTAATTGCATAGGACTTGTTGGACCAGTATCAGAGGGAAGGTGACGATTTCCTTGGAAGGATTGTCACTCTGGACAAAAGTTGGGCTCGCTCATACGAACCGCACTTGAAGCGACAATCAAATGAATGGAAGCATCCTGGCTATCCTTGTCCAAAGAAATCGCGCCCTACACAGAGTAATGTGAAGGTGATGTTCATTGTGGCAAATTACATTGACGGAGTGATACTGCACCACACTGTACCTCAACGACAGACACTAAACGCTGCCTACTACTGCAGTTTCCTGCATAATCATCTTTGTTCAGCACTCAGGAGAAAGCGACGACACTTGTTGGGAACAAACCCCATCATCCTTCATGACAATGCAAGGGCTCATACTGCTGACTCTCTCAAGGATCTCCTTTGCCACTGGCGATGGGAGATACTGCAACATCCGCCATACTCATCCAATATGAGTCCGTGCAATTATGATCTCTTTGCCAAAATGAAAGAACCACTGCGAGAGGAGATTATTCGTGCTGTATGGCGGTCACTGCTGGACATTAACAGAAATGGACGCACTGATGGTGTATGATGCCTTCCACAAATTTGGCAGAAGGTGGTACACATGGGGGGGCGATTATACTGAAGGAATGTAAATGTGTTTACCTCTGGTAATAAAGTCATTTCAGAACTATAGTCGTGTTGCCAGTACTTTTTATCTGACCTTTGTATTGCATGTTGAATCGTTCAGTATTTAGGTGTGGTCCAGTGGATACTGTGAGATTTTAGGTTCTCACAGTGGTCAGTATTGAGATAATAGTCTTCTGGGATGTGATGCTGTTTAGTAAGGCTCACAGATACCAGCATTTTGGAGAAACCTGCCTCTGTCCTATATCGGCAGGTTCCTACATGATGTCACATCCTGGAAGACTGTAGCCTTAGCAATGGATACTGTTTGTGGGATATCAAAATATTTTCTTTGGTCGTGACTTGAGAATTTAAATACTGACATAAGTTTTAAAAATGCATTCATCATTGGTGTGGCATTATTAGGTTTCTGAAGGATTTGTTTTCGTGGTAGTTTCTTTTTTGACTTCTTATTAGCATAACAACTCTTCTAGAGCTAAAATGAAATTTACTTTATAAACAGCATTCATTTAAAAAATGTACCATGCATAAAACCGTTATTTTTTAAATAACACACATCTGTTTTTATCAGTAAGCAGGAAGAGTGTGCAGGCCATAAAATATGTGCTTCATTTTTTTCTGCTTCGTTTGAAACATTTTTTGCCCTGATGAGTATTTTGCAAGTTACACTCGGTATGTTCAGAATCGCGTGTAAGTCTTCTTGCGGGTTGTCTGTTATTGACGAGTTTGAATCAAAATTGCTGTGTGTCAGCAGTTGCTATGAAACTCTGTAACATGAAATACCATGAAAGTCCCTTGAGTTCTTGAGTTATACCTGGGACTCTGAGACAGGCATGGCACACTTTTGCAAATTTTCAGTGTCGATGTGCTGGAAATCTGTGAAAATTGAAGTGGAAAAATTACCAGTGTTGGTAATAACAGTCACCAGATTTTAAAGTTGTTCTCAATACAAAAGCAACCCTTGTGAGTGATGTCCATTGTTGAGTTGAAACAGAAGGTCACCTGAGCTTCAGTGATGTGATTGAAGGTCCTTTTAAACCATAAACATTACTCCATTTAAATCCAGCGTAACCGTCGCTGTGAGTAATGAAGAATGAAGCACAAATTGAATTTATGGATAGAGAGGAGTTTGCGAAGAAACATATTTGAAGCTGAGGTGGAGGAAATGACAGGAGGTTGGAAAGAACTGCTTTATGAGGAGCTTCATAATTTGTTCTCTCTGCTAAGTGTTGCTACAGTGATCAAATCAAAAAGCATTAGGTCAGTAGGACATGTACTTATGTGTGGTTAATGTTCTTCCTCTGTTTCGTTAATTGTCATGCCATGGGCAAGCCAGTCCAGACACCATGAATGATAGCTAGGTCTCTCCCGTGGCTGAGTCGAACCCTAAGTGCCCAATTGTTGTGCATGTAGTGTAGTCACTGTATTGACTGAGCTTTCCCAGATCTGTGTCGTGCGTGGGAAAGATGCGAAACGCTTCAGAATGTTAGTCAGAAAACCTGAAGGGAAGATTTGAGGTTTTCACGGCGGTGACTATGAAGAAAGCAGTCTTCAGAAGAGAAGTTTGTGAAGCTGTGGACTGGATTTGTTTGACCTAGGATAGGAACCAGTGACGGACTTTTCTGAATACAGTCAAGAATCTCTGGATTCTGGAAAAGATCATGAATTTCTTGTCTTACTGAGTGAGCAACTGTTAGCTTCTCAAGAAGAGCTCAGTGCTGTGGAGTTCATTAGATGTACTGGAAATAATGATGTTCGTAACTGTTGACTGTGGCTGCACTGTGTGCAAGAACGGATCTAAGGATTTTGTATATGTTTTGACTTCTTAAGGATGTGTTTGAAGCAAGGGTGGCAACATAATATATATTCTAAAGCAGGGATTCCCAACGTTGTTAGGAAGACGGGCAACTTGGAGAACCATATCGTTTCTAGCAGGCATCATATGAATCTAAAAAGAAAGTTGCATATACTTTGTCATCATCAGAAAGCAATAGGAAATTCTGATGAATGTTTTAAATTATTGTGAAAACCCAGTAACACATCCAGGGGCTTGAAGATGCCCATGGGTACATGGCTGGCAATCCTTGCTCTAGGTATGAATGTCATAGGAAAGAAGAAAGATCTAATGGTACAGAGAAACAGAAAAGGTAAGTAGTCTGACCTTTAAACGTTAAATCCTTTGTAATATGATTCCTGTTCTCTTCAGTGACTTCTCACAGATTCTTTTCCAGTTAGTGCATGAAATTCATTTTGATGTTCATGTTTGTAAGTTAGCCTTGTATCACTTGAAACCATTGCATCCGGATGACGATTTACTGGAACATTTAAATGTCCGCAGGTTTCAGTATATTAACTGCAATACGGGACGTCTAATTTTAATATACTGTACTTCCACAGGAGGTTATAGTGAAACAATAATATTCTGGGATGTGATGTGCAAGTAGTTTGGTACCAACATTTTGGAGGAATGTCCTTCTGCAATCTTCAGGGTAGGCAACACTATGCTGTAGGCAGCATATTTCTCTGAAAAGCTGGTACCGGTTTTAAACTACACAGTTTCATGACCCAGGAGACTGTAATCTTAATATTTATTGCCACAGTGATCCCAAACCTTGCAGAAAACTGTTCTCTTAATTCACTTAGTTCAGTCCCCTTTTTAAATTTGTCACAATTGTTAGAAACCATTCATTTAATTCCAGTAATTTAAACTTCATTTTGAATCCTAGAAATTTGTTGTCAGAAGTAAAAGGAAAGTGTCAAACATGGCCAACTTTTAGTCCAGAACTGTCAGATAAAATGAATGCAATAAATAGGTTGGATGACGGATTGAAAGACATATCACGTGCAGCATTACATTCATTGTCTGTTTGTTATGAAAAACTGCTGATCATGTGATTGTATATTTATGAATTGTTCTGTGGAGATCATTCATTACAGTGAACACTTTTTTTTTTTGCTCGCCATTAGTATTCAGAATATATATAGCATTGGATGATGTGATTGATGAATTGGAAACTATTTGGAAGGAAGTAGTCATAGCCTAATGAAGGTGAGGTACTATCCCAGCATCTGTCTGGATGGATCGATGGAGGAAAACCATGAAGAACCTCAGTCAGGACAGCCAGCGTCCCAGCTGAGATCTGAAATAGTGCTTCGCAAATAGAAGTCTAGAGCTTTATTCCTACATCAACCCACTGGGCCCCAACTGTGTACTGTAAATGGCTTTTGTGGGGACTGATTAACCATGGTGTTCTGTAGAGTACTTCTTGTAATGTAAATGTAAACAAGTTAGGAAATATGCATGTAGTGTAACAGTTCTACCACATTTGTCAGCACATGCCTGTCTCAAAAACTTTAGAAAAGTTTACTAGACATATGTGTTTCCTTTTTCTTATAATTCCTATCGAAACATTTTTTACTCTGAATTGTGCAGCAAGTTACAGGTGAAATGTGTGTAGAAATGTATAGGTCTTTCTGTGAAGTATCCTTCATTCTTTCCTGGTTTTACCAAAAATTGAATATTCTGACACTTTTGTTAGAACTCTGCAATGTAGAATTTCCCACAAATCCATGGTCAATCTTGATTTATATGCAGAGGGCAGGAGGGCATACTTCTGCAACTCTTTTGTTTTGAATGCACTAAGAAAGAAAGAAAGAATGAAATATAGGGTTGAAATGTCTGGCACATTTCGTGAAAACTGGTGGGAATGAACATCATTTGACTGCATT